GAAAGAAAGAAAGAAAGAAAGAAAGAAAGAAAGAAAGAAAGAAAGAAGGAAGGAAGGAAGGAAGGAAGGAAAGAAGGAAGGAAGAAGGAAGGAAGGAAGAAAGGAAGAAAGAAAGAAAGAAAGAAACAAAGACAGACGGAAGAAAGGAAAGAAGGAAAGAAAGGAAGGAAGGAAGGAAAAAAAGAAAGAAGAGAAAAGAAAATGTCCTGTCCCCTCCCTGCCCCACCCAGTTCACTGCCCTTCCTGGCCAGAAATGGAGCTGAGCCAAAGAATATGTACCATAGACCTCTTTGTACCATTGGCAAGCTTTCCATGACATCAGCTTTATAAACATCACGTTGATGCCAGTGGCTGCACACAGCTCACTGTGTGTGAGGGAAAAACTCACTATTAATGTTGAAATAATAATTTTTAAAATTAATGTGGTTAATACAAGGCCCCACCCTTTTCTTGCTCTCTGGCCTGTTTCCCTCCCCTTTTTGAATTGTGTCAAACTTGAATTATCTCCCTGGCCTGAAATAAAAACTGACTAACTTTTAGGGGGAAGGAAGGAAGAAGAAGGAGAAGGGGAAAGAGAAAGGAACAGGTAGGAAGGAAGGAAGGAAAAAGGGAAGCAGATACATAAGCAGTCATAACACAACACACCCATAAGAGCATCCCTGATTTCTATGGTAAAATACAAGCCAAGATAGATGGTCAACTACCAAAGACGACCTGGCAATCCTGCTAGCATCAGTAGCTTCCTAAGATTCAAAGAAAAAGCAAAAATAAATGGATTTTGAAAAGCCCAGTTATTCCATAAAATCAGAGAACAAAAAGAATGGCAGTCATCCTTAAAAGTGTCTATATAATTCATTTTTATTTCTTTTTTCCCCTTTTTAAGACTGTCTCTTAGGTTGTATCCATATAACCAAAAATACCAACTGGGAAAAAAGTTTCAACCAGCTGCTTTCCATCATCTTGGCAACAACTAAACCAGACCCAGCCACTGCTGTTGCTGCCCATGCACCAGACTGTACTGAAGCCACCTGATAAAGAAATCCTGAACAAAAATGATTTGATTCAGTGGTTCCACATAGACCTAGCCACAGTCATCCCAGCATTACTCATGCACCACGCAGGCATCAGTGTGGGTTTCAATTCAAAGCCCATTCCTCTCTCATGCACATCCTGTTGGTATTTCATTAATCATGTACTGGTCATGGTGAGCGGAAAGAGAATTTAGCAAAAGTGCAAAGAAGACATCGTAACTTCACTCTTATTAACCATAGTTGTTTATGGAATTTCCTCTAAGAAGCTCAGACTTTATGATGTGTGTAGCCCTGACAATAAACTTGTTAAGGGATCAATCTCTCTCTCATTTGTTTTGTCTTTCACTGGACCAGAGAATCTTAGAATACAGGTTGCTCCAGTGACTAAGATTTATAGTTCTAGAGTTTATACACATCACATAATTAGATAAGGTTCAACTTGCAAGGTGCCTTTTGGCTGGGATAAAACTGGCCCGAGGGGTTCGATTTAAATCAGAAATCACAGCTCTGGCAGGAAAAAGCAGAGGGGGTCAAGCCTAGCCTTCCCACATCAAACACAGTAAGTCCCTGAACACCAATGCAAACCCACTGGGCACAGCCTGTCACTCATTCAGGCCCAGTAAACAAAGGCAACTTGTCTAAGACCGGTTACTCTGCTCCTGTTGGAGGGGCTCAAGCAATCAGGCCCAAATTACTTTTATTTTATCTTCTTTCCCCTCTTTCACATCTGAAAAACAGTGTTTGAGGAAAGCCCTGTTCACCCCTGACTGGCCTTCATGTGCCCGAAGAGCAATAAAAATTAAAATCTAAAAATCCACAGATGGAAGGAAAAGATGCTGCTTTCCTCTGATATGACATCATGAGCTAAAACCATAAGACTTTGAAGTCATGCCCAGGTCAACTGGATTTCTACTTCTAGTTGATCCAGATTCCCATGAATAAATGAACAAATAAATGAATGAATGAATGGATAGATGAAGATAGATAGATAGATAGATAGATAGATAGATAGATAGATAGATAAATGAATGAAGTGCAAAGTATGTGATGCACAGACGTGTAAATTTCCATAAATTTTGAAGGCATGGACAGAGTTCCAATGTATAAGGAAACAAGCATATGTAAAACACCTACTATGTGTCAGGTACTGTGCTAAGCACTTCATAAATATTATCTCATTTAATCCTTACTACAACCCTTTTCCAGTTTTAAGAGGCAATGGTCATTGGTGGTTGTTCTTAATAATATTTAATAAAAATGAAAGACCTAAAAGATAAAAGGGAGCTTTGAATATCTTTCTTCTATTCTTCCACCTCATTTTTCCCTTGGGTCCTCCCAGTCCTTATTGTTGACACTATTGCATCATTGTTACCAAGAACAAACTAAACCAATCTAATCCAATAAATATTTATTCTTCTTTCTATGGTTTAGTGCAAAAAGTGATAGATTAAGAGTCAGAGGACCTGGATTTAAATCACCCTAGTGTTTAGTACCTGTGGTGACCCTGGGCAAATCACTGAAACTCTCCAGGTCTCTTTTTCCACATTGGTGAAATGAGGGAATTGGAATAAGCGATCTCTAAGATTCAGTCCAGCTTTAAATCTATGATCCTATGTGTAAGAAGAAGTAAGGAGAAAAATAAACAATTATTAAGTAGCTACTATGTTCCGGGTACTGTGCTAAATTCTTTCTCTCTCTCTCTCTCTCTCTCTCTCTCTCTCTCTCTCTCTCTCTCTCTCTCTCTCTCTCTCTCTCTCTATATATATATATATCTGTATATATATATATATGTGTAGTTATATATATATGGGATTATATATATGTATAATACTTATATAAATAGAGTAATATATATAAGCACCATTGCATTATATGTGTGTGTGTATGTATGTGTGTGTATACGTAAAATCACTATATATAATCACCTTTTATCCTCACTATAATCTTGGGAGGTAGGGCTGTTATCCCCATTTTACAGATGAAGAAATGAAACAAAGGTTAAGTGACTTGCCCAGGATCACATAGAAAGTAAATGTCTCAGAATGGATTTGAATTCAGATCTTCCTAAGTCCAAGACCAATGCTGAATCCACTGGGAACTCAGCTGCATTTAGGTGCTACTCAAACACAAAAGGAAAAAAAAAAGTCTCTTTCCTCTCGAAATGTATCATGTACTGGTCTGTGCAAGTGCAGGACTACAGGTAAAATGTTTGTCTACTGTGGTTAAGTGTTCTGAACTACCCTTCTTCCCCCTTTGATTTTTGTTTTTAAACCAAAGGAGGTACAATTTTGGTTCTCTTAGCAACCCCATCCTACCCTTCAGCTCAGCACCCCATGCTTCTGTCTTCTGCTACTTCAAGACCCATTGTTGGTATTTCAGGATCTTAAAGCACATCTCTCACTTCAGATGCTGGGGGTGGCATGCAGAGCATACAGCTTTTTTGCTTTCTACATTCAGTAAAGCCTAGAAATGAATGGTTTAGGGCATTTCTTTATAATCTAGGATTCATAACACTTCAAATATCACTACAATGGAAGAGTACTTTAGTTAAGTCTTAAAACCTTTTGCTGTATCTTTTAGCCTAAACTCAAACTGGATAAAGGATATACTTGGGGCATAGATAGCAATGACACTTTATGACCACGTATCCAAGCCTTGGGGGTGACAATATCATCCTGTGTTTTTTAAATGCTAATGGCTTAGTGGGCAAGAAGTGTGTGGAGGGCCCAGAAGGAATTGCTTAAAAGAGTCCTGCATTTTGTTCCTTATCAGGGTGAGGATTTGCTCGATGGGACAGAGTATGAATGGGAACCTTACACAGTTTTCCAGAGAAGCCATTGTACTGAGATTAGTCCACATGTGCAATACAAACTTTTAATTAAATTTCTTTGGCTTTTCTTTAATTAGCTCTTTCTGCTGGTTTGCAACTCCTCATCCCCTTCCCCTCCCCTCACTGTGCTTCTCCTCTTCCATTGAGCTCACCCACTAACATAACAAAGTTACATTTTAATATAGAAACTTCCTTAAAACTCCTCAGGAAAATTCTTCAGTTCAATTACTCTTAATGTATAAGGGAAAACACACACACACACACACACACACACACACACACACACACACACACCAACATATGGCTTTGCTGTTTGGGGTAGGGGGAATGACTAGCTTGACTGTTGATTTTATGAGTTTTGTTTAAATTTTCTCTGTATTTTAAACATTCAAGATCACTTCATCTCTTTCTCTTTCTTTGTATGGAAAAATACCAATGGCATGATTTGGATTTTTTACTTGTAAATCCCCATAAACTAAATGAAGAAAGGGTTGGCCCTGAGTAAAATGATAACACAAAGCTGCTTTATCCTCTTT